CTGTGCTTCGTGTTCCTTTCTGAACTCTATGGTCAGGCTGAGTCGCTGGCTGGGCTCTGTGATTGCCTCTGATGAGATAAAGTTGCAGACTTGTCTTCCCAAATAGTCTGGAACTTTGCCTGATCAGAATTAGTCACAGAGCAATACCCTTACGTCTTTCATTCATCCACAACATGAAGATATTGCTTAATTAACTAAAAGGGCACTCAAATTCCCTACATCTGGCTGAGAAATATTGTTGTTAGAATGTGTAGTTGGGCAGAACAACATGCTAGTCTCTGAGGCAAAGTGAGTTCTCTGGGGTTGCTGCTCAGCAATTTGGGATGGGCAGGGGCAGAAGCTAGGCTGCACATATGTGTGTGGGCTTGGTCTTGCCTCTGGGACAGGGATAACCTTAAGCAGAGCATTGAGGCTTGATTGGGTTTCCACTCACCTTCTGGGCCTGGATGAGGCCAGCTGCCCCCTCTGCAGGTAATTGCTGACCTGCACTGGCCTCTTGGCCTAAGGAAGACTGTGGGAAAGTGCTGGGGTCCAGCTTGGAGATTAAATTATATTAATCAGTAATTAATAATATAATCACAATAATTATATTAATTAACATATTTAATGACTGAAAAGTCAGAATCAAAGTGAGTTATTATTTTTCTACTAACTTTTTCTATATATTTTTCTGGTTTGAGAAATGTAATGAAAAAATGGCATTTGCATAAACGGACTTCATCTTAAATAAATAATAGTTACGTTTAATGTAACAGCATTTTTATGATTTTCAGTTAAGCAAATCCTTGCAACAAGTCAAAATTATAATGAAGGGCAGTAGGAAAGTCTCTTCTGTACTGGTCTAGGGCCCCCGAGTTATGAGTTTTGACAACATTGCTGTGATCTACTGTTAGTAGGACTTGTACCTTGAGTGACATTTCCATTGGTAGTTTAAGACAATCTCACTCATGCCACATTATCTTGCCACACTTCTGACATGGCTGCTGGACTGCTTTTAAGCCCGATGTTGCATGGAAGGTTTTTGTTTGTATTAGAGATAGGATCTCATTCTGCTGCCTAGGCTGGAGTGCAGTGGTATAATCACAGCTCACTGCCGTCTTGGAATTTGGGCTCAAGTTATCCTCCAGCCTCAGCATCTCAAGTAGTTGGGACTACAGGAACACACCACTGCACCCAGCTAATTTGATTTTTTTTTTTTTTTTTTTTTTTTTTTTTTTTTTGTAGAGAAGGGGTTTTGCTATATTGCTCAGGCTGGTTTCAAACTTATGATTTCAATCAATCCCCCTGCCTTTGCCTTCCAAAATGCTGGGATTACAGGTGTGAGCCATCATGCCAACCACAAAGAAGTTATTTTTATTTTTTTTTGGAGATGGAGTCTTTCTCTCTGTCACACAGGCTGGAGTGCAATGGAGTAATCTTGGGTCACTTCAATCTCCACCTCCCAGGTTCAAGTGATTCTCATGCCTCAGCCTCTCAAGTAGCTGGGACTACAGGTGTGCACCACCACACCCAGCTAATTTTTGTATTTTTAGTAGAGCTGGGGTTTCACCATGTTGACCAGGCTGGTCTCGAGCTCCTGACCTCAGGTGATCCCCCGGCATCGGTGTCCCAAAGTCCTGGGATTACAGGTGTGAGCCCAACCACAGGGACGTTTGGTACCTATACCTGATACTTCTCATTTCCCAGTTCTTATAACTGGCACCTGTTGGCACCCTGTGGGCCTAGCACTGTGAAGATTTGCTGAGCATGGTGAGACTGGGTAGATCCAAAGATTAATGCATTTCTAAATTGAGAAGAAGCTAATTTAATGTGTTTCTAAATAGGAAGAAGATAATTTATTATATTTTTCAAAACTGTTTCAGGGTTGATACATTGGCCCATCTGATTATTCTCACTATTAACATTTCAGAACTCTGAGGATCTGGATAGCTTTCTAACACATGTTCAAAACAATCATCTATATGCTGTCTAACCAACACTGAAACAGAAGAAACATTTCCTTCCTTGTTCAGAATAGAATATTGCCACAGCTCACAATTGTTTTAGCTTTGGGACAGCCCCATTGTAAGGTTGATTTATTCTCAGTTGGCAGGCAAGCTGTTTCACAAAAATGGAAATCAAGCCAGCTCTCTCTATTTTTTTGTTTATAGAGTAGAATTTGTAACTTATGTTCATGATTTTATACTTATTTCTGTTAAAGATAATTTGTTGTTTTTAGCTCATTCTACATGTCAAGAGGTTGGAATTCTGATTTTGAATGCTGACATATTAGACATCACATGCAGGTTTGTGAGGCATGTAGATGAGATCTGCATGCACGATATGTTCTCACTCAAGCCCCTGCTAAAACTACCAACCAGGCTAGCACCATGAAATAGCACCAGAAACAGTGTTGTGCTATTGACTCCAGATTGATCCTTCTAGTTACATATAATCCATTCATCCACAACACAAGGATGTTGCTTAATTAACTAAAAGGGCACTCAAAAGTCCTACATCTGATCATTCAGATCACAATGTACCTTTTGTTTAACAGAGAGATCATGAGAATATTTTCCAAATGACTCACGGTAGTGAAGATACTCTGTGTCTGTTGTATTCCTCTGAACTTCTAGTCTATTTAACTATGGACAATGAAATTACGTTTATATGATTGTTGTTAGCAAATGCAAGCTGGTTATTAACCATCACTTCCTTCTCTAAGGGTTCATAAACCATCTGTTAAATAATTAATTCAAGACCTTCACTAGAAATTGACATCCAGCCCATTATCAATCATTTCCATAATATACTCTATTCCCGTTAAAAGATAAATATTAGTAAAAAAAATCTATCAATAGAATGTTGCTAGTTGAAAATGGGGCAAGAGACTGCAACTACACTTAGCTGAAAAGAGCATCACAGGCAACAGAAACAGAAAAACAAAAAGTATATTTAGTGAATGGTCACACTGAGCAGCTCACTGTGATGAGAGCTGAGAGTTCTTGAGTGGTTTAATTAAGACAAGAATGGAAATAAAGTCTGTGGATTTCTCATGATGGTTATTGGAACCTTGTTGATGTGTTTGAACTTTACAGGTGTGAGTCCTGATCCAGGACAGTACAGAAAGAAGTAGAAACAGAAAGAAGGTGGCAGATGCTAGTGATATTTTCATGTAATAAAATGAAAGATTAAAAGAATTGACTAGGAGTGTGTGTAAAATAGATGAGTAGACTATTTGGCATCTTTCTGGCTCAACACATATTCACAGTATTTACCAAGTTGGAGACAGTAGTGGTAAATTCAAGTAGGAGCAGGAAAGCGGCGATGAATACAGACCTGGACAAAATGAGTCTATGATAGGGAACACTGTCTATGATAGGGAACACTAAAATGGACATGAAAACCTGAAATGCACCAGGGAGGATGGGCCAGGGAGTATGAGGCTAGAAATGCAGATCTTTGGAGGCCTCCCAGACTAGGTAGTGGAAGCCCAGCAAGGAGCTCTACTGTGTTACCAAGTCCAGGAAGCACCATTGCCATAGAATAACACAGTGTGCAGGATGCTCAGCAGCTGTGCTGACTGGTAGTATAATAAATTGATAAGACTGCAGTATAATATTATAATATCTACCCCTAGGAGTAAGAATAACTGTGTTCTTCTCCCTGCTTCTTTAAAAGTCCTTTGCAGTGTCTTCCTTTTTTTTTTCATGCCTCCATTCTTTTGAGGACTTACTGATACTATTCATCCAGATACACGCTGGTGGATGTTCCTGCTTCCATATTCTGTTCATGACTGCTCACATATGAGAAAAAGAAAGCGTTCCCTGTGCAGCTGCATTAGCCTCTCTTTGTCCTATGAGGATGACCTGTAATTGTATTATTAGAATGGGTTTCCCATCATCCTCGGCATAAATTGCTTCTCCCTAATTTCTTTTCTTTGATGTTTCCTCTATGCTCCATATCATAATGTCTTAATGATACATACTAAGCCTCACTTACCTTTCTATGGATAAAAAAGATATGTTATTCCCCATCCTCCCTGGTGGCTTAGGTGGGTCTTAGTGACAGCTCTATGTCCTCTGTCTATACATGTTCTCATGTGATTTACACCTTCCCCCAGAGTCTGATCTTTGTATGCTCTCACTGTGTGCTCTGAAGTTTTATCTTTGAATTTCCCTCTATGTTTTCAAACTTTCTTTTGAAAAGTTCTTATTCTTAGGATCACCTGGTACACATTTGGCCTTCTCTGCCACCACCTCGTGGCCTCGTTTTGCTTCCTGCCCACAGAGGCCCTTCTCTGGCCAGTCTGCCCCCACCCTTAGTCTCCTTTCTAGCCTGCTGTAAATTCCTTCCTGGCCCACAGAAAACACACCAGAGATGTGGCACAGGGGAATCCCAGCTTCTACCAGTAGACAGGCAAAGTGGAAGGGAAATTCCTCAATCTCAACATGAAACTCAACCAGAAAAAATGAGGTTGATTCTCAGTGCTCTCACTTACCAGCTTTGTCAGAGAGAAAAAAGCCACTCACATTCCAGAACCTCTGCTTATATAATATATAAAGTATTTATTTATAAGTATATATCTTTTATATAAGTAAATATAGACAATATATGTTTTGTAGATACATATATACATGCCTGTACACACACACATATTAAAAAAAATTCATTTTGGTATCAGCCCTTAGAACACTACAGGTCTTCTAGAATGTTCTCAGGGCTCCAAGTCATGCATGCTCTGGGAAGTCCTATTTTAAATAGCTCTTCAGGGGCTGATCAGGTTTGGAGGTTTGACTGTCTCATCTCTACACGCAATGCAATTATATTAAAAAATGCCTCTTGTTTCAAATTTACAAGTACAGTTTTTCAACACAATGTCTTCATAGCTTGTGGGATACCCTTATCTCAGATTGACCTTCTTCCTCCCTGTTCAAATTTGTAAGATTTTTCTGTAGGTATGTAATTCATGAAGTTTTTCTATGGCAAAAATTATCTGGTTAAAATCTTTTTTGGATTAGAATGGAACCCTCCTCCCTAAGGAAAGGAGCAACCAACTCACAGTGGATGAAGTTTATGACTATCACCAGGGCAGATATGTGTGTGATTACACGCTGTCGGATACCGCGAGTTCATGGACAGTCAGAGCTGTGGTTCAAGTGAGAACCGTTGGTAAGTGAGATTTTTGTCTCAAGATCTGAGATCTGAGCACCAAATTAAAATTATCTTCTTTTGGCTTAATTTTTCCTCTTAGGGAAAAAAAGAGTCATATACTTATAATCATGGAAAATCTTTAATGTGGGCAAACATCAAGGTTGCCATCCCCCAGGAAGGCTAAGTTCTGAAACAGATTCAAATTCTCACAAGTTGGGTTGTCCATGAGTATGCCCCTGAATTGCTTTTGTAATACATTTAAAAAATGTATTAAACATTTCACACAGAGAAATATTGCCATCCATGTACCTATCACCAGTTTTAACTGTGTTACCATTTTCCCACATACTTAAAATCATACTTTTTTTTTAAAGAAACAAAATATTGGAAGAACAACTTGTGGTCTATGACTCCATTCCCTTCCAAGCCTTTGCTTCCGCAGTATAGTCACATCTTATCACTGATGTCATTTCCGTTTATGTTTTTATGTTTTTTCTACATATGTATGCATCTATTGACAAAATAGAATATTGTTTTGAGTTATGAAATGTGTTTTGTATCATAAACACATAGTATTATACTAAATTATTGGTTTGCCAATTTATACCTCCATTAGCAGTAAATTCCCTCTATTCCCAAGTAATACTTGGTGTTATCAAACTTTATGACTGATGTTGTGGAGTTTCATTTTTGTTTGTTTGTTTTCTACTCCACAGTATACTTCCCTGACTAATAAGAGGTTGAACATCTTGCTATATGTTTTTTGGTTCGTTGGCTTTCTTCCATGGCTTGTCTACTTTTACCTAGGGTCATTCTTACTAGATCTGCAAGTATCAGCTTGAATCAACTAGGTGATAGCATTAATTGAAATGTGGTCTGAGGAGTCAAAACATAAGAGAGCCAGTCACTCATGCTTTGTATCAAAGAGCTACAGAGTGGTTGATGTTGTTCTTAGTTATTAATCTTCTTCTTTCGTTACAAGATACAAACCACATGGAGCACCCCATGATCAAGTGAAACTCTCCTGCTTACTTCCTGGCCCTTGCACCCTCTATCACTTCAGAATCATTTTTTATTACTTTAGATTAGATCTTACATAGATTAGATGTCATTTTCTATTATTACATTGCTCCTTGAAAGATGTTGGAATGTGAAAAACCCACTTGCACCACTTTTCCCCTGCAAGCGATGTGTAATTGTTCTTTAATTCAGCCATAACTCAGCCCAAGTTCTCAATGGCATAATCTGCTTTTCTCTCACCCAAGGGACACCTTGCAACACCTGTTGCCTCTATTTCAGTCAAGCCCTCTCTGCCATCATTACTGTCTTCCTCACTTAGCCATTCATTCTCGCATTTATTCATTTTCACACAAATATGTACTGAACACCTAACATATGTCAGGCTTGGAGCTAAGACTGCAAGGATGAGGGCCCAGATGCTTTATCTGACTCCAAGAACTTTCTGTTTTGGTAAGAAGACAAAGATGAAGCAGGTTATCACAATACAGTGCAGCTAGAGAAAGGAACACTATGGGCACATGGAAGGCCCACCAGATCCAACCTGGGGAAGCCCAGTCCAAGGGAGAAAAGAGAAATGAGGACACACCAGCTCAGTAAGGGTAGGGGAGCTTCCAATCTAGACCAAGGCAGCAGCACAGGTGATGTCCAGGAGATGAAGGAGAGCATCTGGGAGCAGGACTGACAACACACTCTTCTAATATGTGTGAGGTTTAATGAAGGAACAAGGGGGAGGTATTGAGGGTTTTAAGTGGGAGAATGTAATGAATAAATTCGTATTCAAGATAGATCACTTTGTTTGCTGGGCTAGAAGTGGGAGGAACGGAGGCAGGGAGAAGGATGAGGAAGTTCTGTGGTCAAGCAGGCAGTTGCTGACGGGAATCTGAACTAAGGAGTGGTAAAGGGAATGGAGATAATTAGATGACTGTGAAAATATTTAGGAGGTAGATGTAAAGGATTTGGTGTTTGGGAGCAAGGATGAGGGAAAGCAGGAGCCATGGATGCAAGCCAGGCTTTGAGCTGGTCAAGGAGGCAATGTGCTGACAAGAGCACATCGATATGAAGGATGACAACAGGCACAGTCTTGGAGCAGCAGGCTTGACTCATGGTTAAACTGCTTGTGCTGTGAATAGACCTAGAAGAGGCGACGAGAAGTGGCTGGGCTTTTGTAATTCAACAGAGCAGGCTGCTGGATTTCAAGTAGAAGGTAGGAGAAAGAGAACAATCAAGCGTGTTTTTGTTTTCTGCCCTGGATAAGTTAGTGAATGGTGGTACCATTTAATGAGACTGAAATGGCTGAAGGAAAAGAGCATTTGAAGAGGAAATTAAGTAATAGGCTTAAAAGGACTTTTAGCCATCCAAATCATGATAACAAGTAGGCATTTGGATAATCCAGTCTGGAGAAGTTAGGGCTGGAGATGTGAATGTGAAGATAGTCAATTTTTACATGATATCTGAAGCCAAAGAGCTGAATGAGATCACCTAGGAAGTGGGCATAGAGACAGAAGGTCCTAGAGCCGAACTCAGGAATATTTCAATGCTTGAGGAGGTGGAGAAGAGGAAGATCCTTAAAGGGGATGGAAACATACATCTGCAAGTGAATATCAGTAGAAGGATGGAGAGAAGAGCAACAGAGGAAGTGAAACTGATGATGTAGGAGAGACATAATCTCAAGCATCAAGACCTTTCACAGGGAAGAGGACTAGAGAATAAACTTACTACCCAGGGGAATCAAGAGGAGTGAAAGAACACTAAGAGAGAACTAATAGTCAAAAGAGATATAGAGGAAGGGAAAGACACAGAGAAGTGAATATAGAAGTTGAAGGTAAGCAGCAGAGTAAGAGAACATGGAACCAAAAGAAGAGAGGGTTTCAAAGAGAGCATGGCCAACAGTGTCCAATGCTGATAAGAGGGAAAGTAAATTAAAAACTTGATAATGCCCAGTGGATTTAGGTGCATGGGTGTCATTAGTGAACTTGGCTAAAGCAATTTCAGTGGAGTAATGGTGGCAGAAATCAGGTTCCATGGGAGGTGAGGGGATGGAGGGAATGGGCACATAGAACTACTTTTCAAGAATTTGGCTGGGAAGGAAGGAGAATGAGTAAGGCTGGGATGTGAGGCAGGGTGTGTTTTCTCTTTTTAAGGATGATGAGACTGAGCATGAATAAATGCAATGAGAAGAAGCCCAGAGAAAGAGAGGGAGAGAAAGAGTCAGCGAGAGAGAGAGAAGTTAAATATACAGGACCAAGATGGTGCAAAGGAGAGGAGGCCTTTGAGAATTAAGAGTGGATGGTGCCAACAAAAAAGACCCTGAATTTTCTTTTATCCAGAAAAAGAGACACCTTCACGAGGAACTTTGACAGTGGAGGCATATTTGAAAGTTTGTGGCAAGAAGTTGAAGGATAAAATTGTTAATTAAGGACTGAACTCTTCTTTATTTTGAAATAAATCGTGAGTTTAAGGATGGAGGGGTGGACTCAGACATGCTTGACTTTCACAGTTTCTCGGGTGGATTCTCCTTTCAGTTGGATTACTCAGCCAGATGGTACCACAAAGAAATCTTGTAGGAAAAGACAGAGATAGGGGCTAAGTCTCCAAGGGGCAGGATCAGTGTGAAAGAAAATGCACACAGGCATATATGGATCAATTAACGGCTAATGTTGTACCAGCACCCACAACTCAATGTAGCAGTCATTTTAGGGGGCAAGATTTTTACATGGAAACCATAATTCCTAAATTTACAGATCATGAGTAAATGAGCTTGAAGACAGAGCTCCAAGACATTTAGCTGAAAGTGTGGCTGGGCGTGCAAATCTTCATCAAGCAGGCCCTCAGACTTCTCAATGCAAACGGTAATCTTTGTTTTCATCTTTCAGTCGCAGACACTAAACTCAAACCAGATATTCTGGATCCCATCGAGAGCACACTGGAGGTAGAACTTGGTAAGCTGGGTATCATTACATCACCTTTGAATGAAATTGTAATGCTGGGAGCAGGTCTAAGTGGGACAGAAGGAAAAGAACATTGGGATTTCCAGTCAAACAGAATTGAGTTTGAATCTTAACTCAGCCATTGACTAGTTTTGTGACCTTGGACAGTTACTTTGCCCTTTAAGCCTCAGTATTTAAATCTGCAAATCGGTACCATAAAAATGACCCTAAAAGATTATATGGCAGGCCTGGCACAGTAGCTCACGCCTGTAATCCCACCACTTTGGGAGGCTGAGGTGGGCAGATCACCTGAGGTCAGGAGGAGTTCAGACCAGCCTGGCCAATATGGTGAAACCCTGTCTCTACTAAAACCACAAAAATTAGCCAGGTGTGGTGGTGGGTGCCTGTAATCCCAGCTACTCAGGAGGATGAGGCAGGAGAATCACTTGAACCTGGAAGGCAGAGGTTACAGTGAGCCAAGATCACACCATTGCCATCCATCCTGGCTGAGAGAACGAGACTCTATCTCAAAGAAAAAAATTAAAACATTATATTGAGAAGTAACGGGACAATGTATGTTGAGCGGCTGGAGGGTAAAACATGATCAATAGATTTTATACTTACCCCAGGAACAGGTGGTTTTGTGTATGTTGGTTAGGTCTATCAGTTATGACTATAAATTCACCAACATGAGTAACATTAACTCTTATGAATATGACATTTAGTCTGGCATTTAAGATAATTGTAGTGGAATTCTACAACCCTTGCCCAAACAATTTGTGTTGCAAAGTAGTGTCTCCTTGGGGGTTGAGGAGAGATTGACTTCCCTGCGGTCTCCTTTTATTTTGTCGACTTCAATAACATCTATGTCTTTCTACACAGACAAATAAGAATTGCTGTATGTAAAATAATATGCTGTTTTTCTTTTAATAATATTTTCTAAAATGCTACTAAAAGATGTATTATTTTAGAAAGAAATGTAAACATGTTATAAGATCACTAGGTGGCAGTAGTGGCGTGTCCTGACTCTAGAAATAGCACCAGCTGTATGGTCAACAACACGAAAACGGAAGGAAGGGGGAAAGAAGGGAGGGGGAAATTAAATTAATTCGAACAGTTAAGTCACATATATATTAGTGAATTATAAGGTATTACTGGTGGAAAAACATTGAGGTGCAAAGATGAGTTTTCAAACAGAGCTCCTAAACGTTTCATGGTTAAATATTATTTTTGAGGTAGGAATATCTGGATATGGGGAAAAAAAATGGGTAGAAAGAAGTTAGTCTCATAATATACATGCCCATTCATAGTGAATTGTTCAGAAAAATAGCATAATATAAATATAATTTCTTATTTAAACCACGTGCTACAATAACATTATTTTTACTTAATAAACATATTGGATAGTAAGATTTTCTTTAGGGACACACCTTGTACTTCAGCAGGTGTAGGAGAGTGGGCTGATCTCAGAAACTCCTCATTTTCTTAGTGTCTCTCTCAGTCCTCGTAAGGACCCTTAGTGATATAGTCACGCTCATCTTCATTTTAAGAACATATGGTTATATGGTTGAGATAGAAGGATTGCCCATTAGAACAAACATAACTGGTTTCATGTGTTCCTGAATGAAAGATGTGTAGACATTTCACTATTTCTGGCACACGTATTCTACCTGCAAACCTGACTGCATCAGAAAACAGCTCCTGGCCACATCTTCCTTCCAGTCATAGGACAAAGTGTTCTCACGAGCTTCCTTCTTGTTTTCTCTGGCCTCTTCATTTTCAGGAAAGCCTTTAAATATTAGCTGCAAAGCACTATTTGGCTTTGAAAGGGTCTCTAAACCTGTCATAAAATGGTACATCAAAGATTCTGACCTAGAGCGGGAAGTCTCAGTACCTGAGGCGAAAAGGTAAGAAAAAAACTCACAGATTCTGTTCTCTACGATTCAGAAGAGATGCTTTTACCTTTAGAAACTTCTGAAATATGCAGTTGATGGTATAGCCACGAGCACCGACTAGTGGTGAAAATAAAAGTACAGAAATGCAAGGTGCAAAAGGCCATGGAATGAAATATGTAAGTTGTTTTAAACCTCAATTTGTTGAAACAGTTTGACGTGGCTGCTCTCAAAGTCAGGCTATTGAGCAGACAGATGTACTAATCCAATTACTTGGAGATAAGTAACACGTCCAAAAAGTGGGAGGAAATGCTGCCTGCCCTCATTCCGCGTTTCACCCAGGTCGCCCATGCAGAGCATGGCAGGTCTGGGGATCCAGATGTGTGGGGTAATGAACACTCTGGGAAACATCCAGGGGAAAAGGCATCATAATAAGAAGTCTGACAAAAATATGTAAAGTGAGGAACAGCTGAAGCAACTTAGCTCAGAAAAAGAGGCTCAGAGGAGGGCTCTCTGTCTTGAAACCCTTGGGAGCTAGTACGTTGTTTCCGAAATTAGACTTGGTTTGTTGCTCTCTGGAGCACAGAACCCGGATCAGTGGTAAGAATTTATCAGTAAGAGATTTGGGCCAGTAGAAAACCTTAGATATATGGAGCTATCCAATCACAAGAAAAGTTGATCTCCAGTCAGGCCTGGATCCAATGATGTCCAATCAGACATGTCTCTAAAGGACACATTCCCTGATTTTTCAAAGATCTGACCCAGAGTAAGAGTTTATAGATTAAGTACCATCTTCTGATATTGAACATATATCAATGAGCAAATGCAGTATCATTTTGAAAAAGTGTACATCATTACAAAAAAGTAAAGAACAGATTTGGTCACAACAATAAAATTTAGCAAGACTTTCTAAGATCAAAAAGGTCATTGAGGCCCATCTTAAGATGTTACTGCATTAGAGTTCATAGTAGGAGAGTGTAGTCAAGAAGGTATAGTTTGACATCATGCACCCTTGGGTTTAAACCCATTTTCTGTCTAGTGGCAACATGACCCTTAACTCCTGTGAGCCTCCATCACCCCACTGATAATCTATGGATAATCACCTTCACTTTGCAAGCTCACTGGGAGGGGTGGCTGCAGTGGAGGTATGATGCCTATCACAATCTGACAGGTAGAAAGCACTTAGTAAATAGGAGCTGGCATCAGGGGTTCAGAGCAACACAGCCTAAAACATCATTCACATTTACAAGATTGCTTAACACAAAGATGGATTGTAGGCCGGGAGTGGTGGCTCATTCCTGTAATCCTAGCACTTTGAGAGGCCGAGGTGGGGGTATCATGAGGTAAGGAGATGGAGACCATCCTGGCCAACATAGTGAAACCCCGTCTCTACTAAAATTACAAAAAAAATTAGCTGGGCGTGGTGGTACATGCCTGTAGTTTCAGCTACTCGGGAGGCTCAGGCAGGAGAATTGCTTGAACCCAGGACATGGAGATTGCAGTGAGCTGAGATCATGCCACTGCACTACAGCCTGGGTGACAGTGTGGGACTCTGTCTCAAAAAAAAAGATGGATTGTAAATTGGCAACTTCAGAGAACTCAAATTGTGAATAGTTGCCAAGAGTCTCAACTTCCTAAGTGGATGTGTGTGTCACAGGCCCAGGAATCAGGTTGCCCATTTCCTGTGGTGTGGCCTGGGCCTGCTCACCCATCTTCTTTGCCTTGTCCTTGTCACTGGCCAAAGCTGTTATGATTCCATTAAATTCTATGGTTTCTGGGAGGTGAGGAATGGAGGACATTAGAGTCTGTATTTGGTGCACAGAAGAGGAACTGATACATAGTAAGCCTTCAGTAGGAGTTGGTTATTAAATATTTTTCTTAATGTGTTGTTACTATCTATTCTCAAGGAGAATTCTTAGAGTAAGGAAGGTCAGATGAGTCCCGTAAGTAAATAGTATCTTAGCATGAATGCTTAGAAGAGTCAATAATTGAGTCAGGAAAGAGCCCTCTTATCAGACCATCTTACATTTTCCTGGTATCTTCTTATACTATTGATTTCACAGTTCTCTAAAAGCCAGACTGTTTCAAATGCTTGTACGAGTTTCAAATGCTGCAAATGGGTGTTAATGTATGTTACTGAATGGATGTGGTATTTTTTTCTCCTTTCTTAGTATTGAATCCACTGTAAAGGGTGAAATCATTGAGCGTGATATCATCTTGGAAAAAGTGACTCAGCGTGATCTTCGCAGGAAGTTTGTTTGCTTTGTCCAAAACTCCATTGGGAACGCAACCCAGTCCATCCAACTGAAGGAAAAGAGAGGAGGTAAACCCAGAAGGTTGCCCAGGAGGCATGAAACTCCTTTCCCTTGAGAGGGGAGGAGTTTCCCTAAAGAATAGTAATAATGATGATAGTGATTACATTTCTAGATGACAGACATTGTTCTAAGCACTTTCCTGTGTCAACCCATTTAATACCTTGACCAAAGCCACACAACTGGTCAACTGCATATTATTGGTTTGGAGCTAGTCCTCTTAAGTAATACTCTGTATTTGGGAGGCAACTCATTCATTCACTCACTCATTCATGCATTCATTCTACAATTGCTACAGCGCTTACGTGCCCTGAGTGGCAGGCATTGTGCTAAGACCTAGCTCCCTTTCCAGTTTTTCTTTCCTGGCTTCCAAATCCAGAGGACATGATGGATTCATGTTCTGATAAGTGGAGAAAGGAAGAGAGAAGGAGTAATCTTCTTCATTGTTCAAAGTGATATACCACTGCTATATGAAAAAAAAAAGTTGGAGTAGAAATTCTAGGTGAAGAACAGCATTTAAATTTCTTTAAGATGATGTCTAGAGATGAAGTTGATATCATTCATTTCTTTAATGAATAGATAACTGTAGCAATAAGCATATTTGAATGTTTGTGAGGCTTAAATAAGACAAAGTGTGTTCTGGCCTGTAGTAGACACACTGTGAAGGGGGGTTTTCCCCATGGGAGTGTGTAGGAGACCCCTCGAGTCAGGTAAGCCAGATGGGGCTCCTGGTCTCTGGAAATTTAGGCTTCAGTAGGAATAATAATACAGGGAAATAATTTACAATATGCAATGAGAAAGATGCAATGGATCGTGTGGACGTTTATGAGGGGAAAAAATAAAATGAATGTGATAAGTTTCTGTGATCACCCGGATCAGGAATTACCCATTCCCCTGGGGTCTCTAGTGTTTATTGTAAGATGGTTCTCAAAATAAGATATTTAAAAAAATTTATTTCAGTAGGGTTTGGGGATACAGGTGGTTTTGTTTACATGGATGAGTTCTTTAGTGGTGATTTTTGAGATTTTGGCATGCCCATCACCCAAGCAGTGCACCCTGTACCCAATGTGTAATCTTTTATCCCTCATCCCCCTCCTCCCACCCTTCTCCCTCAGTCCCTGAAGGCCATGATATTATTCTTATGCCTTTGCATCCTCATAGCTTAGCTCCCACTTACATGTGAAAACATACAATGTTTGGTGTTTCATTCCTGGGTTACTTCACTTAGAATAATGGTCTCCTCTTCCATCCAGGCTGCTACAGATGCCATTATTTGTTCCTTTTCATGGCTGAGTAGTTTTCCATGATGTGATTTAAGATGTTTCCAGATTCACAAAAACTGCTGCTAGTGGCAATGGTTTTGATAAAATAATAGAGCTGGAAAAGGTGCTGGGTGGGCCACAGTGCCAGCCTGAACATGGTTTGGGCCCAATGCCTCGGCGGCCCTTCACAAAGGCCCTGTCTCCACAGTGGTGCTCCTGTACATCCTGCTCGGCACTGTCGGGACCCTGGTGGCCTTGCTGGTGGCGAGTGCCCTCCTCTACAGGCACTGGATTGAAATAGTGCTGTTGTACCGGACCTACCAGAGCAAGGACGAGACGCTTGGAGGTAAGGTCACCCCCACACGCAGCGCTCTGACTTTTCCTCTCAGAATTGACTTGGAGCAGGATGACAGAAAATACCACCACTACTCTTTGGCTTTGTTTCTTCAGAGTTACTTCAGAAAATAATTTCAGATGTCATCTGCCAGCCAGGGCAGAGCGTGAGGGAGGAGCTGAAGAAAGAAATCCCCCCCCACTGGTTTTGATGCCTTCCTCCAGGGCTGGTGACCTCACACTAAGGAAGGCTGGAGAAACATTTATTTTTTGTTTCATTCTAGTTACCAGGAATCTTGTAGACAATGCTATTGTGAAACATGTTGGACTTAAAAATCATGCCTCTATAACCAACCTAAAGCAATAGGGAAAATGACTGAACATCTCTGTGCCTTTGTTTCCTCATCTATAAAATAGAATTGTCATAGCACCAACTGCAAAGGATGCTATGAGGGCTCATTGACGCATTCTTAAGACACATTAAGTATTTGTTTATTTATTTATTTTGAGACAGAGTCTTGCTTTGTCTCCCAGGCTGGAATGCAGTGGCACTATCTCAGCTCACTGCAATCTTCACCTCCCGGGTTCAAGCGATTCTCCTACCTCAGCCTCCTGAGTAGTCAGGATTATGGGTGTGCATCACCACACCCAGCTATTGTTTGTGGGTTTTTTTTTTTGTATTTCTTGTATTTATTTATTTTATTGCATTTTAGGTTTTAGGGTACATGTGAAGAACATGCAAGATAGTTGCAGAGGTACACACATGGCAGTGTGATTTGCTGCCTTCCTCCCCATCACCTACATCTGGCATTTCTCCCCATGCTATCTCTCCCCACCTCCCCACCTTGCACTGTCCCTTCTCTATTCCCCCCAAAAGACCCCAGTGTGTAGTGCTCCCCTCCCTGTGTCCATATGTTCTCATTGTTCAACACCCGCCTATGAGCGAGAACATGCGGTGTTTCATTTTCTGTTCTTGTGTCAGTTTGCTGAGAATGATGTTCTCCAGGTTCAGCAATGTCCCTATAAAGGACACGAACTCATCGTTTTTGATTGCTGCACTAGAGACAGGTTTTGCCATGTTGGCCAGGCTGGTCTCCAACTCCTTACCTCAGATGATCCATCTGCCTAGGCCTCCCAAAGTGCTGGGATTACAGGCATGAGCCAACGTCCCCGGCCACATTAAGTATTTAGAATAGTGCCCAGCACACGGTAAATGCTCAGCTATGGCTGTTTCTTGAGGACTGGAGTGTATTCCTGTCATTCTGTTAGCTACTTTAATGGACACAGCAATCCTACCAGCCAGGCAGTGAGAGAGGAAGTCATGTGCCTAAAATTGAACCACTGGAATGCGTTAGAGCTTGGGATTTGGGCACAGATCGCCTGGATTAGAGATCTCATTAGCTGTTAGCCCAGTTAGCCTCATCTGTAAAATGAGGGCTTTTTAGATGGTGGGAATGCCCCTAAAAGTGAGAAGTCCTGTAAAATGCAAGTACCATTATTATTAATGAAGTGCCTCAATATTTGGTGTAGGATAATCATGTTCATTGATGTTTGCTTCTTTGGAATAGAAGAGCTGCTTCTGTTTTTTTCTAGTCCAGGCTCTAAGGTTAGAAGTTTGCAGTTTTAGTAAATGACTTTGTTGCTTGAAAAGGGTAGAATCCTTTTTTTTGCTGGATTTCAGGGATAATCGTTTACCTTACTGAGAGGCCCCTTCAAACTCCAGTGCTTTCCCAAACTAGGACTTCAGTGAGGAGGTGTCAGATCCCTAGGGAAAGAAAGGCTGAATAAAGACTTGCATGGGAGGCTGGGTATGGTGGCTCACACCTATAATTCTAGCACTTTGGGAGGTCAGAGTCAGGGGGACTGCAGGAGCTCAGGGGTTCGAAACCAGCCTTGGCAACATGGTGAAACTCCGTCTCTACAATAAATATTTTTAAAATCAGCTGGGTGTGGTGGTGACCCGGTGTAGTTCCAGCTACTTAGAAGGCTGAGATGGGATAATCACCCGAGCCCCGGAGGTTAAGGCTGCAGTGAGCCGTGACTACATCACAGCACTCCAACCTGGATGACAGAGTGAGACCCAATCTTAAAAAAAAAAAAAAAAAAAAAAGTGGCCGGGAGTGTTGGCTCACAGCTATAATCCCAGTGCTTTGGGAGACCCAGGCAGGCAGATCACTTGAAGTCAGGAGTTTGAGACTAGCCTGGCCAACATGATGAACCCCATCCTTACTAAAAATATAAAATGTAGCCAGGCATGGTGGCAGGCACATGTAATCACAGCTACTCGGAAGGCTGAGGCAGGAGAATCACTTGAACCCGGGAGGTAGGTTGCAGTGAGCCGAGATCATGCCACTGCACTCCAGCCTGGTGACAGAGCAAGATGCCGTCTCAAAAGAAAAAAAAAAAGAAATGCATCATTCACGTCTTTCTTTAGACTAACTATTGGGAATATGTACTAGAAATCCTTAAGCTAAATGTTTTTAAGATTTATTTTTAATAGCTTTTTTGAGTGAAGCAAATTATGTAATAAATGTCTTAAATTGCTATTTACCTTAAGATTCTGGAGCTTGTGTAGGAGAGTCAGTCAATGGTGAAAGATTTGTGTCCTTTCTCTTTCTACTTTGCAAAGACAATGTTTTAGTGATTGGATCTGGAGGGAAAATCTGGTTTTCAAACACAGGGATGCAGTGCCCTCTGCTGGCCAATTCATATTTTTTAGCAATATGACTGTTGAAGTTAGTGCTGAGTAACCAAAATTTTAGACATGTAGAATGTTAGAATTCTGGAGGACCTCAGAGATCATCTGATACTCTGTTCTCTAATTTTATGACTGAATAAATGGAGTTTCCAGGTTGCAGAAAAATTTTAGTTTGCCGGGATTTCACATGGTATGGAAGACACAGAGGCAACTATGGTGTGTTACACATTTAAACAGCACAACACCTACCTGTCAGCCATGCCTCACAAGTCTCAGCCTTCCTGAGGTTGGGTTAGTTTCCCAACCTCAGCTTTTTGGCATCCTCCTCTATTGACTCTGGGACCTTCCTTTTTGGTACCTGGTACTTCCATCCACCATGGAATCTTTTTAGGTTCACCTTGAACATGGTGTACTAATAAATAGCATCAGCAATCAGTGCTATTGTTTACCATTTTGTAACAACTGTGGGATTGCTGGAATATGAATCTGGTGTATCCCATTCCAAAGCCTGTGAGTTGTGTTGGGATTTTCTACTTCTTCCAGCTAGTTCCTTACTCCCAGTAATCATATGCATTTATGAAGTATGCATATGAAAATATAGGGTATTTTCAAGGTCTCATATGCCTCTGTTGACTATTTATTTTACATTATATAAATTATTTTATAATATAGTCAACAAAGGCATATATGACCTTAAAATATCCCGTAACAAGTTTTATACATGTAGTTTTCCGTCTCAAATAGAGAGCAATGGACATCTATCTTGTGCCTCCTATGAGCCAGGCACCAAGAAATTCATATACCTTATCTCATGAAACTCTTGAAACAGCCTGCCAAGGAGTTATGATTATCTTGATTTTAGATATAGGGATTCGCATATCAGCATATGTGCCATCAGCTCTCCAAGGAAGTACTATTTATGCTTGGATACGATGTGCTGGGTGTTAGCACTACTTTGCTTACTGGATACCATCATGTTGGATGAGGCAGAGTCCTGTTTGATAAATGACTAATGACACAGAAACACTGCAGGTACAAAGAAAGCTCAGAGGAACTCCTGAGTTCATGTGATTCAGTCACACAATGCCTCAGCTGTTTGATCTAGCCTCAGCCAAAATGCAAAAGTGCTTCATAAATTAGAATTAGATTTTGGGTGGACAAGCAATACCACTCAGTGGTATGATTTTGAAATGAATTTTTAAAAGCAATTTAATAAGGATTCCCAAATCTTATTTCTTATTCATTTACCATAGGTTTCAAGCATATTTATGTGTACCATGATAGTTTTTTAAAAAGTAAATTACTTATGTTTTGTACTTTTTCCTATTCTTCAGATAAAAAGGATTTTGATGCTTTCGTGTCCTATGCAAAATCCAGCTCTTTTCAAAGTGAGGCCACTTCATCTCTGAGTGAAGAAGACTTGGCCTTGAGCCTATTTCCTGATGTTTTGGAAAACAAATATGGATATACCTTGTGTTTGCTTGAAAGGGATGTGGCTCCAGGAGGAGGTGAGTCCAGCATGTCAAGAAAAACAACAGCGCAAAAAGGGCAGTTCAATGCAATTTCCAAGTTCTTTTTGTCATTCTTTCTTTTGGAATATAGATCTGGGAGATTTCATGAGGTTAGAACATCCTGGGCAACAACACAGAAACTAGGTGTTCCAGAGATGTGCTCCATTATCAAACAGATCCATCTGCAAAAGAAAAAATGATATGGGGTCCTAGGCAGGCCTTCCAAGACAAAGATACCTCTCCCGGCTTCACAGATGAAGATTTTCTCTGTCACCCCAATTTAGTGGTCCCTCTGATTTCTGGGACTCTTCCTTCCACAAAGCTCATTCATCACTGGGTCAAGCAGACTTTTCAGGCCTGGGCACCCTCAGAGGTCCAGATCTCAGCCTGTTCTGCTGGTCTCCTCCTCCCCAGATACCTCCACCAAGGAGGCTGGGGTGTTCCACGGATCCCATTATCCCAGCTTACCTAGTTCCAGTCAGCTTTGTTCCTAGAGGAATTGCCAATTTGGGGAGACTGAACACAACGAGAGGAATGTAAAGGTGAGAGTCACTAGACACTGGAGCGTGTATTCCACTGGCAATAGAGTTGATAAAGCGTAAGCAGTAGAATGAACATGTTTCCCTTCCTTCTATGTAAGAGAATCCATTGCAAGGAGCTCTCTGACTCAGGGCTTAACAATATCAACTGCAAATAATCAAATGTTTTATTTCCAGTGTATGCAGAAGACATTGTGAGCATTATTAAGAGAAGCAGAAGAGGAATATTTATCTTAAGTCCCAACTATGTCAACGGACCCAGTGTCTTTGAACTACAAGCAGCAGTGAATCTTGCCTTGAATGATCAAACACTGAAACTCATTTTAATTAAGTTCTGTTACTTCCAAGAGCCAGAGGCTCTACCTCATCTTGTGAAAAAAGCTCTCAGGGTTTTGCCCACAGTTACATGGAGAGGCTTAAAATCAGTTCCTCCCAATTCTCGCTTCTGGACCCAAATTCGCTACCACATGCCTGTGAAAAAACTCTCAAGGATTCACGTGGAACCAGCTCAGAATTGCCTCTAGGATTTTTCAGTGAAAAGGACTCAGTAAAACAGAAACCACTGGGAGGAGCTCCCAGCCTGAGGAATGGTGAAATGAGCTCGGGAGCCCCTTCCCAATCCAATCCCTGGGATAGAGATGTTGTTGGGCAAAACTCACAGCTGTGTGTGTGTGTGTGTGTTCAGGCTTGAAAGAGTCTCCTGCCAGCTCCAGCAAGCTTGATGGACAGTGGAATGGGATTGAAACTGTGGTTTAGAGCCTTTGATTTCCTGGACTGGACAGGAAGGGGGAGTGAACTCTCTAGACCTTGGGTACTTTCAGTACACAACACCCCCAAGATTTCCCCGTGGTCCAAGCAGAATCAGAAAATACAGCTAATTCTCCCTTGTGGCTAGGGACTGTCATGTCTACCATGTATTGTGCATATGACTTTATATATACTTGCAATCAAACAAATATTATTTTATTAGAAACAAGAGTTTTTTTTTTGTTTGTTTGTTTGTTTTTTTTTTTTAGACAGAGCCTCACTCTTGTTGCCCAGGCTGGAGTACAGTGGCACAATCTCGTCTCGCTGCAACCTTTGACCCCTGGGTTCAAGCAATTCTCCTGCCTCAGCTCCCCTTGTAGCTGGGATTACACATGTGCACTACCACGCCAGGCTGATTTTTGTATTTTTAGTAGAGATGGGGTTTCGTCATGTTGATCAAGCTGGTCTCAAACTCCTGACCTCAGGGAATCCACCTGCCTCAGCCTCCCAAAGTGCTGGAATTAAAGGCATGAGCCACACCCCCGGCCTTAGAAACGAGTGATTTAAACTGCCTAAAGCATTTCTGTAAAGAAGACAATTCCTACTCCATGGTCAGCCAACAACTCTGAAGCACAGAAAGTGAGCATAAAAGGTAGAGACCAACAGCACCTAGAATAGAAAAGGCTAGGGTTGGTTTCTACCATGCTTATGGGAAGTGCCCACTCTGGGTAGATGAACTAAAGGAAGAATCCCTTTCCTTTTTGCCAGATGCAGTTTGTGCCAGAATATAGGCTTGGAAAGAAGAGTAGAGGTAATTTCAGTTCCTCCTTGTGATGTTGGCCAGAAATCTTTGTGATGGGTATGAAGTGTAAATCCTTACCCTGGGCCCCTGGAAGTATAGACCAACTGGGCCAAATTGATCAGGCCAATGAAGAGACAAGGAATAGACTTGCAGTGACATGCAAAGCAGAGAGACACTGGCAAGAGTCAGCAGTGCAGTGAAGAGTCTAGGGAATAAGGATATACACTGATTAAAAGGCAGCAAGAATGGAATGTGAGCAGAACTGTAGCCTGAACCGTCTGCTGAGTCTGGCAATCCTGTGTGCTGCCGATTTGGGGGGTCTCCCTTTAAATCCTCCAAAGTAGTGGGGTGATGGGCTGCAGGCCGTGAAATTGTTCGTGATAGATGAGGCCAATTTCCTCCTCCTAAGTGTGTTTCCTTTACAACAGTTTATCCTGCAGTTAAAATAGTGTTCTACTCGCGTATGGATATCAAACTCTTATACTCTGTCTTCTCTAATGAAATAAAATGGTTTATCATCTGAGCAATGAATGAAAGCAACGTCTGGGCTCATTCACATGCAATGCATCACATCCACCGGTCTGGATGTTATCCAAGTTCAGAGTGGCTAAAACTCATGATCGTCTTGGGGCCTGTGTGAAACGCTTTTTCTGCTCTTTATTCACAGAGGCACCCACATCATAAAAACCACTGTGGCTTTGGCACTGAGCAACATCCTTGTTGGAAATTTCAGTGATAAAGTTAATGATGAGTTAAAGGGTATAAATTATTCTTGGAGGAAGTTTCTTGTGGGAAGGATCATTGCAGGGTCTCGGTGAAGAGGAACCCATACTGTCACTGTGCCATTGTGCTTTGGTGATGGCCAAGATCCCTGGCCTTCCTGCCAGCCACTTGCTGAGATTTAAGACTCAAACTTCTTTTGGCCGGTTTATTCGGTTTATCCTAAGATAGATAACCAAGCTATCCAGAGGTCCAGCGTTTTGTCCTTAGCCCCACAGAAAATCAAATCGAGCTTCAGGTTAGCAGGTACACAGAAGGAGAAATAGCTACTTCTAATATTTACAGAATACACTCTTTCCAGGCTGGTAGGTACAGTGAAGGTAACAAAGTAGCATTTGGGACAGGGGGCTATTTATATTTCTTACATGTAAATTAACCACAAGAAAGCAGACAACCAAAACAAAATTTCTATGTATAGGATACTGACTGCAATAGAACAACTGGACTCAGTGGAATATAATTAGAAAAGAGTATTACTTTTTTATCACATCTTCTAAGGAAGGTGTCTATATATTCTAGTTCCTGGTTGTACCTATTGTCCAAGTATTATTATTATAGTACTCTCTTTTACTCTGAAAATGTACTCTACCTTGGATGATGGCCACCCTACCTCTGACATACGTCATACAGTACTCTTTACCGACCCTTCTATGAAAGCTCGAGCAATTCTCATAGCTTTCCTGGTCCCTTTTAGGTTTGAATACCTACATTTAACATCTAGATTATTTCTAAGTTGAAATTCTAGGTAAGATGGAGGAAACAACACCATCCTGTCTCTTCCTCCTAGTACAGCTATAAAGTCTGGATAAAAATGCATTAAAATCAATCTGAGTATTCTGAAAAGTAAATAGAAGCAGACAGATTGGAGAAAACAATAATTCAAAGTCTCATAATTTGTCCCCAGTCTCTTCTGACTTAGACTCGGTAAGGTCTGAAACTCGGAAGTAGACATCAGCAATAACAGAAGGAACTTGAGAAGGACTCTAGTTCCGGCTTGAAGACTGAGAAAGAGTTTTCTAGCCCTCCCATATTTTCCACTTCATGTCTTTCACTGCCCAGTCTCTAAGCAATCCTGTGGTAGCAGCAGTGACACCAACAAAAACAGTGGCATTAGTGGCCCTCGAGAGCCTAAATCTCTGAGGAAGGGAATTTTCTACCTTGATATGAGGACCTGTAGTCCCAAGAGGGTGTGGCAAATCTCTATTGTGTTTTATTTTTTCTTTTTCCTCTTACCCTTTTGTTACATGGATGTAAGCAGTTGTGGGAAGTGCACTGCAGAGTGAGATAAATAAAGCCTCAATGCTTTGACCAGAGAACTGCACAGAGGAGGAGGGTACAGGCAGAGAGGAGCTTAGAAAACTGAACCTATACAACTGTTTATGCACCTTTGGGCTCATTCCCAATCTATGCATATATGAATCTGATCCTAAAGGGAATACCATAAACTTTGAGAAGTAAGCTATAGGAGAAATCACTTTCTGAGTTCCATTCTAGCCACTGAAAGGTGTAAATATGAAGTAGGTCTAAATAGAACTGAAAGGCAGTGAAACGAAACTGAAATTAAAGCCACAGGCTTAATTTGGAGCCTTAATCCCACCGGGTTTATTTCCTGTTGAAGCAAAAATAACATTCTACATAAGATTTCAACAAGATCTAGAATTATATAGCATAATATTTAAAACATCCAGGATGTGATTTATGAAAAGCAAACATGATGACATTTTCTGGTAGGATTTTCAATATAGGTAGATGTAATGCAACATAAGGCGTCAGATGAGGGCTCTAGATGACAATAAGGTGTCTGTTTCCCAGTTGAAGTGGCACACTGTTGATACTGAGTAGAATGTGAAACTCCTTACATTTTATTCCACTGGGTAGCCATTAACACAAACAAACAAAACATCAAATATTGTTAAAACATGACGGACATTGAAATACTATTCAGCCTGTAAAAAGAAGGAGTTTCTACAATAGGTCACAGTATGGACCGACTTTGAGAACATTATGCTATGTAAATAAGCCAGACACAGAAAGACAAATACTGCATGATTTCACCTATATGAGCTAACTAAAATAGTCAAATGCATAAAATGAAGGACTAAAATGGTGACTGGGGGAAATAGGAAGTTATCAATAAACAGGCATAAAATATCAGCTATGTGAAATGAATAAGCACTAGGTGTCTGCTGCACGACATCATACCTATAGTCAACAATGGTGTATTGCAAACTTAAAATAGGTTAAGAGGTTAGACCTCATGTTGAGTGTTCTTACCACAATAAAAATGTTTTGATGGAATAATCAAAATGTTTAAATAATCCAAAAAAAGGAAGAGAAAAACAAGAGGAAAAAAACTAAGAAAACAGATAGAAATCAAATAACAAAATGGTAGACATAAATCCAAACATAATAATTACATTAAGTGTAAAATGTCTAAACAAAATAATTAAAAGACAGAGATTATTAGAATAAACTTTTACAAATTTATTTAAAATCATTTTCAGCAAGCCCTTTATTGGATTTAACATGATCAAAACCAAAGTCAGCTAATTCACTGTCTTCAGAATTAGTGAAATCTTGATCATGTCTCGCATTCTCAGTACATTGTCTTTTGCAAGCTTATCTGAACAAGAAATTTAATGCCCTTACAATAAGAATGTTTTGGGCTGGATGCAGTGGCTCACACCTGTAATCCCCTGACGTTGGGAGGCCCAGGTTGGTGGATCATGAGGTCAGGAGATCAAGACCATCCTGGTTAACGTGGTGAAACCCCGTCTCTACTAAGAATACAAAAAATTAGCGGGGGCCGGGGGACGTACCTGTAGTCCCAGCTACTCGCGAAGCTGAGGGAAGAGAATCACGAAACTAGGAGGTGAAGATTGCAGTGAGCCGAAATCACACCACTGGACTCCAGCTTGGGTGACAGAGAAAGACTGCGTCTCAAAAAAAGAGAAAAATGCTTTGAATGCAATGGTATAGGTAGGTTAATAAGATATAATTATATGAACATTAATTAAAAGAAAGCTAGAGTGCCTGTAAATAATTAATGTATTATTTAATCTATACGTTATTTAGAAATAAATAATGTTAATAAATATATATTTAATATGATAAATATGTCAACATTTATTATTTTATATAGTATATGATAAAAATATATTAATATACATTATTTGTTTCTAAATAAATATATATATGTATGCACATT